GATGTTGACTATAGTGCTGCTGGATCTGTGTACTTGCCTGTACCTAGCGTAGGATCTTTGCCTGTTGCTAGTGTAGGTTATTGTTTAGCTACTAGTCCAGGTGCTCCTTCGGCGGACGCGTCCCTCTCTTTCACACTGGACTCAGGCGCGACGCAGCGCTTCTTCCGTGACCGTACGACTCTTTCTCCTCTACCGGCGCCAGTCTCTATAGCACTAGCCGATCCCTCCTCGGGACCGGTCGTTGCTACTCACACTACTACCCTCCCATGCCCAGCTGCCCCTTTCGGCTCCCTGATTGGCCTCCACGTTCCCTCGTTCTCGAGGAACTTGGTTGGCGTTGGCTCCCTGGCGAGACAGCACGTCGGGGTCTGGGTTGAGCCTGACGGAGTCACCACGGTCTGTGTGGACGGTGACACTTACGCCCCCTTGGCCACTTTCCGCCAGGAGCCGGGCTCCGGCCTTTACACCCTCCACTTCCTACGTCCCACAAGGTACTTGCGTCGAGTCAGGTTGCTGTGTCTAGTTAGGTTGCTGCGTCGTGCTCGTGTCGGTCACTAGCTCACCCCTCCCTCTTGTGGCACCACCGCCTTGGTCACCCCTCACTCCCTCGTCTTCGTGCTATGTCCAGTCAGGGTCTTGTCTTAGGCCTCCCGCGAGTCCTACCGCCGCTCCCGCCGTCCCCAGCTCCTCCGTGCGGTCCTTGTGTCCAGGGTCGGCTGCGCGCCACCCCTCACTCCTCCTCCCTTCGTCCAGCCGTCACTCCCTTTCAGACTCTCCACTTAGACGTCTGGGGCCACGTTCGCCGCCTTGGCCCTGAGCGGGAGAGTTTCTTTCTGGTGGTCATTGACGACTACTCTCGGTACACCACCGTGTTCCCTTTGGCGAAGAAGTCTGACGCGACTCCTACGCTAATTCGTTGGCTACTCGCCACCGAGGGTACTCATCGTCGTCGTGTCAGTTGTCTCCACTCCGACCGTGGGGGTGAGTTTCGCTCCGGCGTTCTCGCCAGATTCTGTGCTGAGCAGGGCATCACCCAGTCCTGGACGCTTCCAGACTCTCCACAGCAGAATGGGGTTGCTAAGCGCCACCTAGGCCTGGTCATGGATATTGCACGCACCTCCATGATCCACACCCGTTCGCCCCATCTTCTGTGGCCCTACGCGGTTCGGTACGCCGCTCACCAGCTGAACCTTTGGCCTCGTGTCTCTCGGCCAGGGGTTTCACCGACCAGTCTTTGGACAGGGTCCCCTGGTGTTGCGTCGAGGTTTCGTGTCTGGGGTTGCTTGGCACTTATCCGCGACACCTCCGCAGACAAGATGTTGCCTCGCACCGTCCCCTGTGTCTTCCTCGGTTTTCCAGAGGGTTCCTCTGACTTCACCTTTTACCACCCTCCCTCCCACCGGTTCTTTGACTCTCGTGACGTCCGTTTCGACGAGTCCGTCCCCTACTACGTCCGGTACCCCTGTCGAGGTCTCCCGGTTCCCCCCCCTCCCCTCTTCCTGGCTCCAGCTCCTCCTCCTCCCGCCCCTGCTCCTTTGGTACCCCCCCCCCTGATCCCGCTCCGTCTGTTGTGTCGCACGCTACGCCCCCCCTCTCGGTAGCCCCTCAGGTCCCCCCTCCTTCCCCACAGTCGTCCTCCCAGCCACTGCAGCAGCCGTCAGCGCTTCCTTTACCGGCCACTGCGGACTCTGAGGGTGTTGGTGCTCGAGGTGAGGGTCCTGGCGATGCTAGCTCAGGGGGTGTTGGCGTTGGAGCTGCGCGTGCACCTGCCGGAGCTGCCCGTTCTGGGGGTGCTGGAGCTGGCGGTATTGGAGCTGGAGCTGGTGGTGCTTCTGGAGCTGGAGAGTCTGGGGCTGGTGCCGGCGCCGCTGGAGGCTCCGCGACTGGAGGTGCGGGTGCTGGTCGTGTTACCACAGGGAGTACTCGCTCTGGGGGTGGTCAGCCGGGTATTGTGGAGGGCGGAACTGGTGCTTCTTCGTCTCCTCGCACCACTCCTCCTCCTCACCCCTACCTGACTCGACACCAGGCCCGTCTTCGTCTTGAGCGTGAGGAGCAGCAGCGTTTGGAGCGTGAGAGGTTGGAGGTTCAGCAGCGGGTGGAGCGTGAGAGGTTGGAGTTGCAGCAGCAACAACAGCAGCCGCCGCCGCCGCCGCCGCCGCCGCAGCAGCAGCAGCAGCAGCAGCCGCCGCCGCCGCCGCCGCAGCAGCAGCAGCAGCAGCAGCCGGAGCAGCCTCCGGCCCCCGTTAATGGCCTTCGGGCCCTTGGTCTCCCCTCCTCTCCTCCTGTGTACAGTCCTACGTTTCCTCCTCCGGACTCAGCCCCGGATGTTTTCCCTCGTTCTCAGTCTCCTCCGTCTCCGTCTCCTATCACCCACACTTGGGCCTCCCGTCCACCTCGTGCTCGTCCCTCGTCACCAGGCCTTCGTACTGAATTGTCTTGTCCTAGTCCTCCTCGTCCTCCTCCGTCTGTTCTTCCTTCCCCTCCTGAGTCTTCCCTCACTGCCTCCCTGTCCACTCCGGTCACTGACTACTACCGCACGTACCGTCCTGTTCTCTCTCGTGTTCTCGCCTCTCTTGTTACCGACCCTCGTGCCTCTCTGTCCTCTGTCTCCGCTCTTACTGCTGCAATCATTGAGTTCGCTGCTACGCGTCGCCTTGACTAGGCCACTCGTGTTGTGGCAGCTCCTCCTGTCCGTCCTCTGTCCGCCGGGGGTGAGTCTGCCCTTGGCTGTGACGTCCTAGAGGACAGACAGTTTGAGCTAGAGTTCTTGGCAGCTGTTTCGCCTCATCTCTGTGCCATGCTGCTCGCTCCTGAGGGAGACCCCGACGCTCCTGACATATCGACTCCTCGCACTTACGTTGAGGCAGTGTCAGGGCCTTGGGCCTCTCAATGGAGAGTTGCCATGGACGCAAAGATGGCCTCCTACAGATCCACAGGCACCTACGTTGACGAGGTTCCCCCCCCGGGGGCGAACGTAGTTGACGGCATGTGGATCTTCAAGGTGAAGCGGCCGTCGGGATCTCCCCCAGTCTTCAAGGCACGCTACGTGGCTAGAGGGTTCAGTCAGCGTGAGGGAGTTGACTTCTTTCAGACCTTCGCGCCCACTTCGAGAATGACCACTCTTCAGGTGTTACTGCACGTAGCAGCGCAGAGAGACTACGAGCTACACTCTCTTGACTTCTCCACTGCCTTCCTCCAGGGCAGCCTACACGAGGAGATCTGGCTACGCCGTCCTCCGGGCTTCACTGGCACCTTCCCGCCTGGGACCCTGTTGAGCCTGAGACGATTGGTCTACGGTCTCCGCCAGGCACCCCGTGAGTGGCACGACACTCTTCGCTCTACTCTGTTTGACCTCAGGTTTGAGCCGTCTTCCGCCGACCCGTCGCTGTTTGTTCGTCGTGGGCGCACACCTTTCTTCGTTCTGGTCTACGTTGACGACTTGGTTTTTGCCACAGCAGACACAGTTGCACTGGCAGAGGCGAAGTCTGAACTGCAGAAGAGACACACGTGCACTGACCTTGGGGAACTACGTCGCTACCTTGGCCTGCAGATCTCCAGGGACAGAGCCGCTCGCACCATCACTCTGACTTAGTCACACATGGTGCAGCAGGTCCTTCAGCGGTTCGGGCTTCAGCACTCCTCTCCTACACCCACTCCTCTTGCTGTAGACCACAGACTCACTGGGCCTTTTCCTGACGAGCCGTTCGAGCCCAGTGGTCCTTACGTAGAGTTGGTGTGTAGCCTCATATACCTGATGACGTGCACTCGCCCGGACCTCGCCTTCCCTCTACTATCCTTACTCGCTTTGTTGCGACCGGGAGACACCGTCCTGTTCACTGGACGGCGGCTAAGAGGGTGGCGAAGTACCTCGCCACGACATCAGACATGGGGCTTGTACTTGGAGGGACACAGCCAGTTGTACTCACCGGTCACTGCGACTCCTCGTACGCCGACGACGTTGAGACTCAGAGGTCTACGCAGGGTTACTGTTTCAGTCTGGGCTCTGGAGCTGTTTCGTGGAGGTCTACTCGGTCCTCCTCTGTTGCGACTTCTACCGCAGAGGCCGAGATCTACGCCAGAGCCCTTGCTGCATAGGAGCTGCGCTGGTTGACCTTCTTGCTCACTGACCTTGGTGAGCGGCCGAGCTCTGCACCGACCTTGTTTGCTGACAACAAGGCGATGATTCTCCTGTGTCGAGAGCCTCGACTGGAGAGCAGAGTGAAGCATATCGACGTCAGGTATTTCCTCCTTCGGGGGCTGCAGAGACGCGGACAGGCTCGTCTGGACTTCGTGGCCTCCGAGGCCAACACTGCAGACATCTTCACCAAGGCTCTTCAGCCTTGTGACCACCACCGCAGTTAGGCCTCGTTGAGACTGGGTCTAGTAGACTGCACTAATGAGTTTTTGCATGTTGTTTTGTTTGTACCATATATATTTGCTTATACACTCTTAAACTGGCCTTGTGGCCGTTGTTAGTGCCCAGACTGTGTGGTGACGTTATGATCCACCCTGAGCTTGCTTTGCTTTTTCTCTTTTGCTTGTGACTGGTCTTGTGACCTTAGGTTGCTTGTTGTTGGTTGGCACTCCCCACTTAGGCTATGGGGGTGTGTCAAATGTTATATCCTCTAGTGGGTTATACTGTATGGGGTACAAACAACTAGGGTTAGGCATTTGTATCCCAACCCAATCAATGCAAGCCATTCCGCTGTCGTTAGTTCCTGACAATAGAAACATGCATTTACTTTTACATCTGATAGCATAAACTGCTATGCACCGTTATAGTACGGTACGCGGGCGCGGCATGCAAGGGAGCAATTGATAGTGCTGGTAGATGGAAAATGAATGAATCACCTGTACATAACCTAGCACTGAGATGGACAGAGATAGGGTATGCATGCACTGTGCCACAAAAATCTTGAATCAAGTGTGTAGATGTCCCGTGGTTTCACCATCACACTTGCTCTGCAATACTTCATTTCGCGAGTGCAACAGCAGAACCTTCACTGCTCCGTTCCCCGTGTGTCTCGCTTGCAGATGGGGCACACTGCGCGGCGCCTCAACCACTCGTCGATGCACTGTCGGGAGTAGGGAGGGCCAACAGCATTGTATGTAAGCAGAATGGGTGGCAAAGGAACGACAGGCTGAATGAAGAGAATGTAGTTCCAAATGAGACGGAATCGACAGCAGTGGCACTTGAGAGAGGGAGAAAGCCACGTGCAAACTTGCAAAGCGTAGTCCACAAGAAGAAGCTTCAATGTAGAACATCAGGGTCCAGCGCTCACACAGCAGTTCTGGATGTGGTGACAAGGATTATTACGATTCAGTGTTTTTTTCAGATACTTGACTCATAGCAGTGGGTCGATCCGACTATGATGAACTCAATCCTAGGCTCACTAGTTGTCTCACATCGCGGAGGAAGGGTTGACCCTGGTTGGCGCACCCTTTTGGTTGTAATAAGCTGAAATCAGTCAACTCACAATGCTGTGGGGGGAGTTGACTTTGGTTGACTCACATCGCGGTGGAAGGCGTGGGCGCAGGGCAGGCGGCGGATGACTTCAGGTGGTGAGGGCACCTCAATGCAGATGGCACACGGGTCCAGGTCGCTGTCCTGTGCCTGGCACAGGGGAGGTGGGGGATGGTTGCTACCCAGGACGCTGTGGTATGGCGGAATGGGGAACAAGACCACATGCATGGCAAGGGCAGCGTGCACTGCTGATGGGACATGCATCCCCAGAGCAGGGGGGCCAGGCTGTTGCGATGCGGAGCAACAGGTGCAGGAGAGCAGAGAGGGTACGGACCGTGACAACGGCGGTGGGCAGGGTGTTGATCTCCTCAGGCGTGGCGCCCGGCCGCACAACGGGCGCTGAGATGTCATCCAGCGCCAGCAGCATCTCGTAGTCCGACCTGGGGGGGGCGGTGCATCCAGCATGAGGAGAGGAGCCGGTCACAGAAGAACGGGCAGGGAATGTGTGATTGGGTGGGGAGTGAAGGAAGCGGAGGGAGGGATATGTTCAAAGCCAGCAGCATCTCGTAGTCCGACCTGCACCCAGGGGAGTAGAGCAGAACGGGAACACATGGAAGGACAAGGGATGCGTGCGGTTGGTTAAGGGCCGGAATGGGGAGAGGAACAGGTAAGGGAAACACAGGCAGGGAATGTATGGAGTGGTAACCACACAATGACTGGCAGATCGGTTGGATTGCAATGAGTGGTTTGACCACAGAGCGTGGTTGAGGTTTAGGTTGACGTCTGCACAAGGCCAGTTGGAGCAAAGTCTTGGCTGAATAGGAACTGGAAAACTAGGCGCTAAGCGAAAGCAAAACACATCCGAGCAGTGCGTGGGAGGGGGCGCGGGGGAGGGGTGGCGGGGCGGGGGGTGGGGGGGGGCGGGGCGGGGGAGGGGGGGGGGGGCGGCGACACACTCATTGAAGTCGCGGTCAATGGCAGCGAGGCGGAAGGCGAGGGGGAAGTTGCGCGCGATGGGGGGCCGGGGGAAGGGGGCAATGCGGTGGAATGCCGCGTCCACCCCCCCCATGCCCGCCTCCAACGCCTGCCACACCGCCAGACGCTGCTGGGGGAGGGGTGTGCGCACAGGGAGGGCGGACAGATGAGTGCGTGGATGGACAGAGAAGGGCGGAGTGATGAGCGAGCAGGCGGGCAGAAGACAAATAGGTCATGGAAGAGAGGGGGAGAAAGGAGCATGTGAAGCAATGAAGTATGGTGCTCGGAGAGGAAGGAGGGCCGTGGGGAAATGAACAGCGCAGCAGCATGATACAGGATGCCAGGGGAAGGGCCTCTCACAACACGTGGTTGTGTGTGAGAGGGGAAAGGGGTCTAAAACAAGGCAGCATTACAAGGGGGAATTTCGTGAAGAAAGACGGTTGGAGTTGAGAGGTGAAAGGAGGAGAAGGCAAGTACTGGGTTGGGGGGAGGGCAAGGGCAAGGACAGGGCGAGGGCAGGGACCCGGGCGATGGTGAGGGTGAGGTGAGGATGAGGAAGACGGTGAGGAAGAGGGTGAGAGGGCAGGTGAGGGTGAGGGTGAGGGTGTGGGAGAGGAAGAGGGCGAGGGTGAGGGTGAGGGTGAGGGCGAGGGGGTGCGGACGCACGTCGGAGATGATTTCAGCGGCGGAGCGGAAGGACCTGCCCGCCCTGTCCCGCCTCCACGCCCCCATCACTGCCCCCCTCCTCTCTGCCTCCCCTCCCCGCCTGCTCGCCGCACTCTCCCCTCCCACTCCAACCCCTGCACGATCATCAGCAGCAGCAGCAGCATCACCATCGCCATCAGCAGCAGCTGCCCCCGCTGCTCGCACATCTCCCCCGGCATCGTCCACAGCAGCAGGCGCGGCTCCCCCAGCAGGGGCAGGGAGCACGTGGCGGGTGGCAGCGTGGTCGCGCAGCATGAGGCGGGTGAGCGCGGAGAACCGCTGCTGCAGCCGCGCGCGCCTCTCCTCCACCGTTTCCCCTCGCCCACCCGCCACCCACGCCCCTCTCCGTGCCCCTCCCGCACCTTCAGCAGCCGCAGCCTCCCTCGCAGCCTCCCGCACAGCCTCTCCCACAGAGGCCACAACACTCGCCAGCGCAGAGCCACCGTCCTCATCCCTGCCCTCGTTATTAGCAGCCCCACGACCGCCTTCAGGAGCCCCAGGCACCAGCCCCGTCTCCCCAACCACCCTCTCCACCGCCTGCCTCGCTCGCCGCTCCACCGCCTCCCGAGCCTCCCTCAGCCGCCGCTCCAGAGCTTCCCGAGCCTCCCGTGCCCGCCGATCCACCGCCTCCCGTTCCTGCTGCGCCCGAGCCTCCACGAGCAGCTGGGCGGCGTGGGCCCGAGCCTCCACAACGTGCCGGGCCACCCGGGCGCGCTCCTCCACCAGCCGCTGCAGCCGCCGCCGCCTCTCCCTCGCCTCCTCCTGTGCCGCCCCGCGTGCCGCTGCTGTGCTGCCTGCTGCTGCTGCTGCTCCGTCCGTCATGGCTACACCTACTGTTGTATCGGTGGCTGCTGCTGCGGCTGCTGTGGCTGCGGAGCGGTGAGTGGCAGAGAGAGCAGCAGAAGCGAGGGCAGGGTGGACACCTGCTGCTTCTGCACCCACGTCTGCTGCATCTGCTGCATTTGCTGTGTCTCCTTCAGCTGCTGCTCGTGCTGCCTCACTCATCGGCTCATCCACCAAACCCAGCGGTCGCACCTCTTCCCACTCAATTGCTTGTGCAGCCAACTCGCCTTGTCTCCCCTCACCCTCCCCTCCAACTGACCCCTGTCCTCCCGCTGACCCCTGTCCTCCCGCTGACCCCTGTCCTCCCATTGGCCTTGCAACCCCCACCCATGCAGCCCCTGTCTCCTCCGCCCCTCCTGCCACCTCCCCACTGGACTCGCCTGCAGCCCCTGCCGTGCCTGCTGCACCCATGCCCCGCACACTCGCCCACTCGCGCCACCTCCTCCGCTCGCCCCCATCCCCCGCGCCCATGCCCATGCCCCGCCTCCGCTCCCTCCACGCGTCCAGCCCGCCTGCCTGCCCGCCTTGCCTACCCCCCAACGCCCTGCTGCGCGGGACCTGCCAGCCTGCCAGAGGGGGCGCGGGGGGGGAGAGCGTGGAAGGCAGGAGGAGGGGACTCCAGTGCGGGGCGAGAGGCAGGTCGGCTGTGGCAGGCGGGGCAGAGGTGGAGGGGTCACGTGGTGGTACTGCTGCAGGAATGACATGGGGTGGTGCCGCAGCAAGGGCGTCTTGTGGTGGCATGGCATGTACGTCAGTTGCTGCTGCTGCATGGCCCATGGCAGCCATGACAGCAGAGTGAGGCGGAGGACCCACTGCATGGGGTGCAGTCGCATTGTTCTCATCAGGATTCACTCCCCCAGCAACCCTTGCACTCATCCCAGCACCATCGTCAGCAGCAGCAGTGGCAGCCTCCCTGTCAACCTGACGCCCCATTTGAAACGAGAACCCTGTCTCCCCACCCTCTCCGCTCTCCCCTCCCCCCTCGCCATCCCCCGCAAGCCCTCGCCAGCCGCGCCTGTGCGACCATATGTGCCAGTGCCAGCAGGGCGCCAGGCGCGCGGCACTCTGTGGTGGGCGGCAAAGGACGGCAGCAACAGGGGCTGAGCACCCACTGAGAGAAGGATATCAGACGGCAGTGAGGGGGCCAGCGGAAGAGGTGGAGGGTGTGAGGGCAGTGCAGCAGTGCGCTCTCTCCCCTGCCCACTTCCGCTACTCCCCTCAGCACCAGGTCTGCCCTGCTCATCCACGCCATGCCCACGGCCCTCCCCACCCACGCCCCTGCCACGCTCGCCCCCACCACCCACACCCACCAGATGCCCGCTGGACCTCACCCCATCACTCCTTCCAACCCCTGCCTCCCACTCTCCACCCCCCCTGCCCCTGCTCGTCCGTGCAGCCCTGCTCGCCAGCCTCGCGTGCATGCGTGCAGCAGCCCTGTCACGGGCTTCATCATCCCTGCCTCGCACCTGCCTTGCCTCACCACGCCACGGCCGCCCGTGCCGCGACCTGCCATGGGGTGCGCGCGGGGGAGCGCTGCTGCCATCTGATTCCGCCATCTCCGCACTGCCCCCCCCGTTGCCGTCCCCCCTGCCCTCACCCCTGCCGCCCACCCTACCCTCCCCATCCCCTCGGCCCTCACCCCTCCCATCCTCGTCTCCAGTGCCCCCCTCCTCCGCCCTGCCACGCGTGCCCCCCTCTCTCCCATCCTCCCTAACCTCCCTCCTGTGTCTGGCCCCCTCATCCATTCGGAACCCATCCTGCTCCATTCCCCCTTCGCCTCTCAACACCCTTTCCACCGCACTGCCAGTAACTGCTGCTGCATCCACCACTGTCACCACGCCTGCTGCTGCTGCTGCTGCTGCTAAAGGTGCACCACTCCCCGCAGCATGCTGCAGTGTGGCTGTGTGGAGGCCGGTCACACGCGCTGCCTGCTCCCAGTGCTGCCCCGAACCAACCTCCCTAGCTGCTTCGGCCTCGCCAGCTATCCTGGGCAGTGGTGCGACGGCATGGTGCGCGGCGACATGGGGCGAGAGGAGAGTGGCAGCAGGTGGCGAAGTGGAGGCGGGCAGGAAGGGGGGGGCGTCGAGGGCGGCGGGGCTGGTGCTGCCCACGCTGCCCGAGTTGCCACCTGAATCGCCGCCCGCTCCCATGGCAGCGGAGCGCGATGAGGGGCGCAGGGGCACTCTGGGGGAGAGAGGGGGTGCGTGTGATTTGCAGGACACAGGGGGGGAAACAGGAGAGAGATGAGGATGTAGGCAGAGGAGTGAGGAGAGCATGAGCCCCAGTACGGCAAAGGGGGGGGGGGCGCTCCTCTCCCTGACACAGGTGACAACGAGGAACGCATGGAGCAATGGGAACCTCTCCAACCCAATGCAGCGCAAACTGGCAGGAGCCAAATTTCCAGCAGAAGGAATGCCGTGTACGATGTGTGTTATGAGGCATTGGGGAGGCAAAGGGCAGCAGTGCCCCACACAGTGCATGCTACTCACTGGGCAACCCACTGCATACCTGGCACGTGCGCGGGCCGGCAGGCGCCCCTCACCCACGCGTGCGCGCATGCCCAGCGCCCAGGGGGAGTCTGCTGGCAGCGGCAGCACCGCGTGGGGCGAGGCGATGACAGCAGCCTGGCCAGCAGTGTGAGGAGCATTGGGGAGAGGCTGTACTTGAGCAGTCAACGGGGGGTCAGCTGGGGCAGCAGCAGGAGGAGGAGGTGGAGAGGAGGGGCGCGTGGCGAGGGGTGGGGTGGTGTGCAGTTGGGATGCGCGCACGAAGTTTCCCCTGCGCATGCGCACAGAGGCAGTGGAGTCGGCAGGCGTGCCGAAGGAGAATGCGCTGCCGGCGGGAGATGCGGACGCAGAGGCAGCCCTGCCCGTGCTGCGCGCATGAGGCGCGTGCATCTCAGCTCTCCCGCGGTGCAGCGGCGGGCCATGCGTGGGGGGCGAGTGTGGAGGGGAAGGCAGGCTGCGGAAGGAGGGCGAGGCAGGGGAGGAGGGGAGGTTGCGGAGGGAAGGTGAGGCAGGGGAGGAGGGGAGGTTGCGGAAAGAGGGCGAGGCAGGGGAAGCAGCGAGGTCAGCCGATGGAGAGGGCAGATCAGAGGCTGTTGGCATCACACCAGTGCCTGCCTCCGCCTCTGCCTCTGCCTCTGCCTCTGCGGCCTCACGCCACGCTCCCAGACTCACAGCACCCATTCCCGGCATCCCACCACCCTCTCCTCCCCCTCTGCCAGCAGCAGCCCCCATTGGCTGCCCGTCAGCCCCAGGCAGTCCCCCTGCGTGCGCCCACCGCCGTGCCACGCGCGCCTGCCACTGCCCAGCCTCCTCCACCAGGCTGCCAGGGAACCACGGCACCCCTCTCCTCGCCTGCCCGCCCTCGCGCCCTCCCTGCCCTCCGTGGCCGCTTTGCCCCCCATGCAACGCCACAGGCAGAGCGCCGTGACCGGCAGGCAAGCCGGCAGGAGGGGGCGTGTCATCCAGGCGGGGGGCAGCGTCGTCCAACCCCACTTGGCCCAGCACAACGTCAAACTGAAACGTGTCGTCCACCTCGTTCAACGCTTCCTCGTCCACCTCATGGCCCCCATCCATCATATCCTCCATATAAGCTTCCTCGCCTGCACCCTCTTCCAGCAACCCCATATCCAGCCTCGAGCCGTCAAGCTCCAACATTTCAATCTCCTCATCCACTTCCTCGTCCTCCTCCTCCTCTTCCTCTTCTTCTTCTTCTTCCACCTCCTCTTCCTCTCGCGCCTCTGTCTCCCAGGGTGCGACCCCTCCCTCTGTTGACACAGCTCCGTCCGTCGCTGCACCTGCCTCCGCAACAGGCCCTTCACGTTGTCTCCCCTCCTCGGGCGTTTGTACAGGTGCTTGTCCTGGTATTTCTCCAGGTGCATGTTCTGATGCCTGCTCAGGTGCTTGTTCGGGTGCTTGATAAGGTGTTTGTTCAGGTGCTGATTGTTGTTCATGTGCTTCTCGTGCACCTGCAGCGGACTGCGGCCTGAAAGGCTGTAGGCGCCGAGCAGATTGTCTCTGCAGAGGGATGTGGTGGGTGCGAGGCATGCGAGGCATGCGAGGGATGGGAGGGATGCGAGGGATGGGAGGGATGGGAGGGATGGGAGGGATGGGAGGGATGGGAGGGATGGGAGGGATGGGAGGGATGGGAGGGATGGGAGGGATGGGAGGGATGGGAGGGATGGAAGGGGTGGAAGAGCAGGTGCGCACGAAGAGATGAAGGGATAGAAAGAATGCAAGAGTAAGAGAGGGGAGAAGGGCGGCGGGCAAGCAGGGGCGGGGAGGGGGCAGGCAGAGCACTAACCGGCAGGACGCCATCGACACGCAGCAGCGCCCTGAAGTCAGCCGCGTCTCGCAGCTCGCGCTGCATCTCCACCGCACTCATGCCCGCCCCCAACCCCCCCCCCGCTGCTGCTGCCTGCGCAGCGCTGCTGCCGCTGCCACTGTCTCTGCCATCGCCTCTCTCCTCAACCACCGCCCGTAGCTCCTCCGTGCTGACGTGGCACGGCCAGCTGATGCTGACGTGGCGCGTTCTGCAGGTGCCGCCATGCCCACCCGTGCCAGATGGGCAGATTCCAGAGGTCTCAGGGGTCCAGGTGGCACTGCAGCCACGGGGGAGTGAGGTGCACCAGCAATACCACCACCGGCGCCGCCACTAGTGCTGCCGTCACTGCCGCCAGTCGCACCACTGCCAGCAGCCCTTGCAGAATCACCCCCTGGTGTTCCCACCTCCTCGCTCCCCGCGATATCTCTCTCCCCCTCCCCTATCCTCCTCTGCTCCACGCCACCGTCCTCGCCCCCTCCCACGCCCCTCCCTGCCAGAGCACTGGCAGCGTGAGCAGCCCTGGTTGACTGCCCAGCAAGCGTGCACGGAGCAGCAGGAGCTGAGGGAGCAGAGGCGCCAGAGGGGGCAAGGGAGGGGCTCTCGCCTGTGTGCTGTCCGCTGTGCCCCCTTGCTTGCTCCCATGCGTCTTGCCCCTCGCCCTGCCGTGCAGTTTGCCCCTCGCCCTGCCGTGTGCCCTGCCCCTCGCCCTGCCCCCCACCCTGCCGTGCATCTGGGCGGGCGTGCGGGCGAGGTGCTGGCCTGGCGGCGCCACGAGGGGCGAGGGAGGAGCGGAGCACGCGGGTGCGCAGGTGGTGCGTCTCCTCCGCCTGCAGCAGCATCGCCAGCTGGTAGTCCGTCGCCAGGCCCCGGCCCTGGCGAGGGGTAGGAGGACGAGGCACGGGGAGGGGGGGAACCAGCACGCACGGGGGAGTGGAGGGCAGCGGACAGCAGCGCGAGTTAGTGCAGGAGAGAGCAAAACGGGGGAGAGAAACAGCGGGGGTGTGGATTGTGATGCGGTAAAGCAGGATAGTTGGGGATGGCAGTGGCTGCCGGGGAAGGAGGGAAGAGCCAAGGTGCATGGTGAGTGGTGGCCCCACACCTGATGGCACACCATGCCCGTTGCATGCAGCAGCAGAGAGCACATACCCAGACAGATAGCACAATGCATGCGACACGGCTCAGAATGCATGCGACTCAGCTTAGAATGCTCGCAGGCAACAGCGTGGTCATGCGACATGCGACGCAACATGACACGACACGACACGGCACGGCACGGCACGGCACAGCACAGCACGGCACAACACGACACGACACGGCACGACACGACACGACACGACACGACACGACACGACACGACACGACACGACACGACATGCCATGCCATGCATTCAGCGCACGCACGAACGGAATGCTGCTCTCCTCCTCGAATGCGCGCTGAAGCTCTCTCGCCAGCCGCTCGTCCTCCGCCAGCTGTGCCGCCCGCGCCACCTCCTCGTCCCCACCTGCTCCCCCACCCCCCTCCCCTCCGCTTCCCCCTGCTCCCTCCGCTCCTGCACTGGCATCCCCTTGCGCTGCACTCCCCCCTGCACGCTCGTGCGCTGCACTCCCTGGCACCGCGCCGCTGCTGCTCTGCACGTGCGCAGCCCTGCTTGCGGCGGCAGCCACAGCCGCTCCTGCAGAAGCAGCAGCGGGTGCAGCAGGAAGAGCAGGTTCGGCAGCGTGGCGAGTGGCACTAGGGCCGGCGCGAGCTGCCGTTTCAGCACAGGGGACGGCCGCATCTTCATGCGCGCAAGCCGCACCCCGCCCCACTGCACCCGTACCAACAGCAGCTGTAGAAACATCACCTGCACCACCACCACCACCACCACTAGAAGCAGCAGCAGCAGCAGCAGCAGCAGCAGCAGCAGCAGCAGGGAGGCGAGCACCAGCGGAGCCAGCAGTAGCGCCATCACCGGCAACCCCAGCAGCCAGATCCGCCGTCTCAGCGATGTGTGCAACAGCAGCAGCCGCCAGCGCGACGACAGGGCGGGGGTGAGCACCCGCAGCAGCAGCAGCCGCGACGGTTGAATCCATGTCTGCAGTGGCGCCCGCGGCATGACCGCCAGAGCCGCCTGCGTGGGTTGCCAGTGGAACACGCTTCTCGCAGCCCGCACCAGCTGCTGCCGAGCCTTCGCCACCGCCGCTGCTGACGCCGAGATTCGAACCCGCACGGCCCGCTTGCCGAACCCCACTACACGCGCCTACTGCTGCGGCGTCAAGAGGCGTTTCAAAGGCGCCTCTGCGTCGCTTCATCCGGCCGTCGTGCCCCGCGCTCAGTGCGCTTCCCCCTGACGCGCACAGTACACTCCGTGACGCACTTGAACCCGGCGCCGTGCCTGCAATGGAACCAAACGCTATCGACTGCGCTGGTGCTTGCTCGTTCGGAGAGAGAATCGTTACACCGCTAGCGACGTCGCCATTCGGCATGTGGTTACCCGTCGCAGCAGCTGTGGCGAGCAACGCAGCGTCGCACGCGCCAGGCTGCTGGTCGACGCGAGCGTGGCGGGAGTCGGAGTGGCCTCGCTTGACGCCTCTCGGCGTCACCTCGTCCATCTCACGGCCCGCCGCCTCTCCTCCTCCTACGCGTCTACCGTCTCCCTTACCCCTACGTTGCTCCTCTCCCCAATCGTCTCGGCCTTGCTCCTCCCCCTGTGCCGTTCAATCTTTGCTTCCCTAACGCGTATCGGACTTGCTGCACCCCTAACGTCGCTTTAACCGCGGAAGAGCATCATGTGGCTGATTGGTTACGGGAGCTCATTGAGGTAATCTGTCTTCAGCATAAGAACTATGTACACGAATCGCATCGCACTAGTTAACGTAAGGTAGTATGGCTTTTCATACAGAAACTAGCCTGGCAGGCAAACCCTTGAGATCATCGATGCTTGTCTTCTCGTATGGCATGACGTGGATGGTGAAAACAATCGCATGCTGTCAAGCGGTAGAACGATCCCTATAGTGAGCGTGTCAGAGGGGTTGAGTTTGGTCAAAACGGTTGAGTACGATGAGGTACAGTTAAAAGCGGTAAGTCCTCTTCACCGCCTCGAACCGTCACTCATCCTGCTGAATACCGTCGCTTCTGTAGTCCTTCCCCTTCCAGCTCGTGTATGGTACGCCCTCGGACCACCCTGTTCGTGACCCACCCCTTTGAACAGCGGATTTGAACAGCGCCGATTCGTTTTCGATCGTAGCACTAGCAACTCACTCCCTCTATATACTTCATACAGTTGTACGTTCGGTAAGTGGGTGTACTAAGCAACGGAATGCAACCACCTACAAATCCCTGGACTTCAACAAATGACAGAACCATAAAATGTTGAATTATGTTATTGGAACATAATAGAGGGCAGTCTGGTCCTGTGTTCCATATGTTTTGTATGCAAATCATGGATCTTAAGGACTTGTAAGAACCTACTTAGCACTCTACACAGCCAGATGACACAAATTTAGACCTTTCTAATAAGAATATACAGCCGTTGATCAATATGGAAATCTTTTAAATTTGTGCTGTCCCCAGCCAAGCGCATGAGCAAACCACCAAATGAGACGTAGATTTCCCTGTTCCAGGCAGCAGCCGCAAGCAGAAAGGAGATGATCAATTACCAATTGAGTCAGATAAGGACGCGAAGTTGCACTGCTCTGACAAGCATTGGGACAGAATGGCTTCCAAGTAGCATCCAATACTAGGCAGAACCAAACAGCATGGCGCCATTACAGGAAATATGCATGGCACCAAATCTCACGCTTTCACCAAAACACACGCCAAGCCACCAGTACAACCAGAAGGAGTGCTCTGAACTACAGCGTCTCAAGTCCGAGTGGCGAGCACAAACGTCAATGAGTGAAGCATTGAGAGAGAGATGAGGCAGCACCCAGAGGGACTCACGCGTCGGCGGCGCTGCCAGTGGCGTCGCTGTACTTGTAGAGCTTGCCATACATCACGTACTCGTAGCGGTCCATTAGCGACCGCCGCCCCGACTGCAGGGATGACACGCAGTGGGGGAAAGAGAGGGGGGGGGGGGAGAAGAGGGGAGGGGAGGGGAGGGGATTTGGCCGTACACCACGTACTTGTACGAGGTGCATGACTGACCACCACCCCGACTGCAGAAGGGGCCATTGGCATGAGGGGCATAGTTGGCCGCACACCACGTATTCATAATGGTCCATCGGGCACCGCCCCCCCAACTACATGCATGCCATTTCCACACAGAAGGATGGGTGCGTGTGTGGCGTTGCGGGAGAGGGTAGAGGGGTAGAGGGAGAGGCAGGGAGGCACGGTGGGGAATCGAGGGAGGATGAAGGCTCACATGCTGAGGGGGGAGGATGAAGGCTCACATGCTGAGGGGGGAGGATGAAGGCTCACATGCTGAGGGGGGAGGATGAAGGCTCACATGCTGAGGCACCGCTAATGAAAGGGCATGCAGGGATGTTGCGACCCTCTTCGTGCGTTCAACTGCACTGCCTGCCTGACCTACCATTGCCCAGCCTGCCTGCACAAACTTTCCCAAATTTTTGTTATCCAAACCAAACTATCCCTGCGCCCCTGATGGGACACAAACCGTGCCTAGTGCATACTATACCATCATCTGACCACACCTGACCACACTACCATCACACACTGGACACGCACAAATCACAGCAGTGCTGTCATGCACAAATCACAGCAGTGCTGTCATGCACAAATCACAGCAGTGCTGTCATGCACAAATCACAGCAGTGCTGTCATGCACAAATCACAGCAGTGCTGTCATGCACAAATCACAGCAGTGCTGTCATGCACAAATCACAGCAGTGCTGTCATGCACAAATCACAGCAGTGCTGTCATGCACAAATCACAGCAGTGCTGTCATGCACAAATCACAGCAGTGCTGTCATGCACAAATCACAGCAGTGCTGTCATGCACAAATCACAGCAGTGCTGTCATGCACAAATCACAGCAGTGCTGTCATGCACAAATCACAGCAGTGCTGTCATGCACAAATCACAGCAGTGCTGTCATGCACAAATCACAGCAGTGCTGTCATGCACAAATCACAGCAGTGCTGTCATGCACAAATCACAGCAGTGCTGTCATGCACAAATCACAGCAGTGCTGTCATGCACAAATCACAGCAGTGCTGTCATGCACAAATCACAGCAGTGCTGTCATGCACAAATCACAGCAGTGCTGTCATGCACAAATCACAGCAGTGCTGTCATGCACAAATCACAGCAGTGCTGTCATGCACAAATCACAGCAGTGCTGTCATGCACAAATCACAGCAGTGCTGTCATGCACAAATCACAGCAGTGCTGTCATGCACAAATCACAGCAGTGCTGTCATGCACAAATCACAGCAGTGCTGTCATGCACAAATCACAGCAGTGCTGTCATGCACAAATCACAGCAGTGCTGTCATGCACAAATCACAGCAGTGCTGTCATGCACAAATCACAGCAGTGCTGTCATGCACAAATCACAGCAGTGCTGTCATGCACAAATCACAGCAGTGCTGTCATGCACAAATCACAGCAGTGCTGTCATGCACAAATCACAGCAGTGCTGTCATGCACAAATCACAGCAGTGCTGTCATGCACAAATCACAGCAGTGCTGTCATGCACAAATCACAGCAGTGCTGTCATGCACAAATCACAGCAGTGCTGTCATGCACAAATCACAGCAGTGCTGTCATGCACAAATCACAGCAGTGCTGTCATGCACAAATCACAGCAGTGCTGTCATGCACAAATCACAGCAGTGCTGTCATGCACAAATCACAGCAGTGCTGTCATGCACAAATCACAGCAGTGCTGTCATGCACAAATCACAGCAGTGCTGTCATGCACAAATCACAGCAGTGCTGTCATGCACAAATCACAGCAGTGCTGTCATGCACAAATCACAGCAGTGCTGTCATGCACAAATCACAGCAGTGCTGTCATGCACAAATCACAGCAGTGCTGTCATGCACAAATCACAGCAGTGCTGTCATGCACAAATCACAGCAGTGCTGTCATGCACAAATCACAGCAGTGCTGTCATGCACAAATCACAGCAGTGCTGTCATGCACAAATCACAGCAGTGCTGTCATGCACAAATCACAGCAGTGCTGTCATGCACAAATCACAGCAGTGCTGTCATGCACAAATCACAGCAGTGCTGTCATGCACAAATCACAGCAGTGCTGTCATGCACAAATCACAGCAGTGCTGTCATGCACAAATCACAGCAGTGCTGTCATGCACAAATCACAGCAGTGCTGTCATGCACAAATCACAGCAGTGCTGTCATGCACAAATCACAGCAGTGCTGTCATGCACAAATCACAGCAGTGCTGTCATGCACAAATCACAGCAGTGCTGTCATGCATACTGCCGTTGGTGTTCTACATTGTGAATGTGCTGTCCACTTTATAAAATGGGTGGGAGAGCATTAATGGCCAACTTGTTGTCATAAATGTGCTTTAAAATACCTCCTCCGGTTGTTGATTCGAGCCACCTAAACACTGACGCTCAAACAATGAACCCTAATCCGTGAATCTTGAACCCTGAACCTTTACAATTAAACTAAACCATGAGTTAACTCTACGTTAACTCTATACCCCGCATCGAACCCGTCTGGTCAGCATACAAGCTTGCTTACCACGTTCTGCCGCCCACCTTGTCGCACATCCCTGTCTGTATCTGCCGCCCAGCCCTTCACCTGCCGGCCATTTGATTCACACCCCTCCCTCCACCGCCCACCTGGTCGTACACCCCCTCATCGGAGACGCCTTCGAGGCTGAGCGTGGGCGAGAGCGCGAGGGTGAACTTGTCACCCACGGCCAGCGGGTACACCTCTGTGTTCACGTCCAGCGACAGCGCCATGTCAAACTGCTCGCTGCGCGCTTCTATGCGCGACACTGTTGGAGGAGGGGGGGGGAAGGGGGGAGATACGGGGGGGGAAGGGGGGAGGGGTACACCTCATGTTCACATCCAGCGACAGCGCCATGTCAAACTGCTCACTGCGTGCCTCCACGCGCGACACTGCCACGGGGGCAGGGGGGGCGGGCCGGGAAGGGAAACGGGGGTTGGGGGGGAAGGGGGGGGGGGGAGGGGGAGAGCGCGGGGAGGGAAACGCAGGGGGGAGGGGGCGAGAGGGGGGTTGAGAGGGGGAGGGGCACGGGGGAGAAAGAAAGTAAGGTCCTGGCGAGAAAAGGTTTGTGGCTTTCTAAAGCACAGCCACATGTCAAACTCGTTGCGCGCCCATGGGGGACGGAGATTTGGGGGTGTGGGGGAGTGAGAGGAGCAACGGCCAAGCATGGGAAAGGGTGAGGAAGGGGAGGGCAGTGGCCTTTCGCGGCGACTCGAAAACGAGAACGGGCCACGCGACTGCGAGCCCGCGAGAGCGCGAGACGCGCAACCTGCAGGAGGAGCAGCGAGAGAGCGAGCGAACCTTTGTCGAACTTGTTGCCGCCGACGTCCATCTCGGCGAGCGTGAAGATGTCCTCGAAGAGAATGCTGTCCGCCATGGCGCTGCGCGCACTCTCGCCCTCACCCTCACCCTCCGCGCATGAAAATCCTCCCGCACGCTCTCTGACTTGCACGCTGCACGGGAATGACTTTGAATGGTCCTGGGAGATTGTGACTGGGAATGCGGGGTTTTTACAGGCGAACGGAATTGCAGACGAATGGGAAAATATGTGAATGGTAGTGAAAGAATGGGGGTAGGTGGCGAGACAATCGCGACGGTATGGCAGCAGGGAGAGAGAGAGGGGAGGGATATGCGGCTAGGCAGCGAGACAAGCGCGAGCCGCTGCTGCGGCTGGACGCATAGCGGCGGCGGCGAGCGAGGCGCTACGCGCCCAGCGGCGGGCAGGCCGTTGGGCGCCTAGCGGCGACAGCGACAGAGTCGCACAGCTGGGCGCACAGCGGCGGCAGCGAGCGAGGCGTTACGCGCCCAGCGGCGGGCAGGCCGCTGAGCGCGAGAGCGGCGAAACAGTCGCGCCCGCCTCTGGTCGCGAGGCGGGTTCGGAACGCACCTAAGTTGTATGTCAGATGCACTTGATCCGAACCGTGGATGTGATGTGATGTCAGGTAATAAGACTTGGAATACGGGAATGTCTTAGCGAATGGTCCTGCGAGACTGTGGCAGTGGGGGTTTTACTGGCGGACGAGGTTGCAAACGGGACCTGAGGGCGCGTCTCGTTTCTCACAGGAATTTTGTTGGTTCGGAAACTCAAGTCCCAGGCCATATTGAAATGAGCTAGCGAATTTCTTGATGACATTCGTGATATCGAGTTACCAGAATAGTTCGTTTTTTGAAGAGACACGTCCTTATCTAAGGAACGTGCGGACGCTGTGACTGCCTCTCGCCGGCCCTTTCGCATTCAACATTTCAAAATTCTGAAAGTTGGATCCCTGATGGTTGAACTTATTTCGGAGCTTCCGCTCATTTCGCCACAACACGTCGCTGGTGCTAAGTAACTGCCTTAGCGCAACAGGCTCGCGCGCTGACCGACGCACACCTAAGGACTTTCGAAGCACGCCGATGTGGAATAGGGAGAAGAGTGTTTTTAGAAAAGTGGTGAATGAATGTTTGTTCTCGTCGTGACGGAACCACGTCGCGCGGCGTCGATCAAGGCTCGTTCTTGTGCAGTGGAAGCGTCCTAGCCTCGCTCCCCCATCCACACGTTGCGTGATCTCCGATTCGCAAGATTGTGTTATCTTTGCGCACCTCCTCTCCGACCCAAAAAAGAATGGGCCAATATCCCACCCCCAGGTTGATTGTTGCGTGCTAATTTTACCGGAGTCCGGTGCGACACACCTCCTTTTTTGTGCTTCACTTCTGCACTCCCGGGCGACGCACCTCTTCTCCCGTGCGACGCACCTCCTCTCCTGTCGATTTAACTGCCACAACCAGCCAATCCCTATCAAACGCCATCACTGCCATCGTCCTCGCGGTACTAGCGGGCGGAGCGAGCGGGTGGCGCAGCGGAGGCCGCCATGTTCGCGCGCAAGGCGGTGGAGCTCGTGCAGGAGGTGGCGCGATGCGACGCCGACCAAATCCTGCCCTTCGATGTACGCCCTTCGATGTACGCCCTTCGATGTACGCCCTTCGATGTACGCCCTTTGATGTACGCCCTTCGATGTAGCCCGCCGCTTCATCCGTCCGACGCGGACGCGCTGCGTTCGCAGCGGGTGGTGGTGAAACCTTTCGCATCACCCGCTCTTCCATCGCGCTCCCTCGTACTTACGCCTCCCACTCTGCATCCTGTCCCCCACTCTCCCCTGTGTGCTGGCTGTCACGGTGTGGCAGGCGGACGGCGTGCAGCGAGTGCTGGAGGAGGCGCACGAGCATCACCAACACATGGTGCAAATCCTGCTGTGAGCATCACCAACACATGGTGCAAATCCTGCTGTGAGCATCACCAACACATGGTGCAAATCCTGCTGTGAGCATCACCAACACATGGTGCAAATCCTGCTGTGAGCATCACCAACACATGGTGCAAATCCTCCTGTGAGCATCACCAACACATGGTGCAAATCCTGCTGTGAGCATCACCAACACATGGTGCAAATCCTGCTGTGAGCATCACCAACACATGGTGCAAATCCTCCTGTGAGCATCACCAACACATGGTGCAAATCCTGCTGTGAGCATCACCAACACATGGTGCAAATCCTGCTGTGAGCATCACCAACACATGGTGCAAATCCTCCTGTGAGCATCACCAACACATGGTGCAAATCCTGCTGTGAGCATCACCAACACATGGTGCAAATCCTCCTGTGAGCATCACCAACACATGGTGCAAATCCTCCTGTGAGCATCACCAACACATGGTGCAAATCCTGCTGTGAGCATCACCAACACATGGTGCAAATCCTCCTGTGAGCATCACCAACACATGGTGCAAATCCTCCTGTGAGCATCACCAACACATGGTGCAAATCCTGCTGTGAGCATCACCAACACATGGTGCAAATCCTGCTGTGAGCATCACCAACACATGGTGCAAATCCTGCTGTGAGCATCACCAACACATGGTGCAAATCCTGCTGTGAGCATCACCAACACATGGTGCAAATCCTGCTGTGAGCATCACCAACACATGGTGCAAATCCTGCTGTGAGCATCACCAACACATGGTGCAAATCCTGCTGTGAGCATCACCAACACATGGTGCAAATCCTGCTGTGAGCATCACCAACACATGGTGCAAATCCTGCTGTGAGCATCACCAACACATGGTGCAAATCCTGCTGTGAGCATCACCAACACATGGTGCAAATCCTGCTGTGAGCATCACCAACACATGGTGCAAATCCTCCTGTGAGCATCACCAACACATGGTGCAAATCCTGCTGTGAGCATCACCAACACATGGTGCAAATCCTCCTGTGAGCATCACCAACACATGGTGCAAATCCTGCTGTGAGCATCACCAACACATGGTGCAAATCCTGCTGTGAGCATCACCAACACATGGTGCAAATCCTGCTGTGAGCATCACCAACACATGGTGCAAATCCTGCTGTGAGCATCACCAACACATGGTGCAAATCCTGCTGTGAGCATCACCAACACATGGTGCAAATCCTGCTGTGAGCATCACCAACACATGGTGCAAATCCTGCTGTGAGCATCACCAACACATGGTGCAAATCCTGCTGTGAGCATCACCAACACATGGTGCAAATCCTGCTGTGAGCATCACCAACACATGGTGCAAATCCTGCTGTGAGCATCACCAACACATGGTGCAAATCCTCCTGTGAGCATCACCAACACATGGTGCAAATCCTCCTGTGAGCATCACCAACACATGGTGCAAATCCTCCTGTGAGCATCACCAACACATGGTGCAAATCCTGCTGTGAGCATCACCAACACATGGTGCAAATCCTGCTGTGAGCATCACCAACACATGGTGCAAATCCTGCTGTGAGCATCACCAACACATGGTGCAAATCCTGCTGTGAGCATCACCAACACATGGTGCAAATCCTGCTGTGAGCATCACCAACACATGGTGCAAATCCTGCTGTGAGCATCACCAACACATGGTGCAAATCCTGCTGTGAGCATCACCAACACATGGTGCAAATCCTGCTGTGAGCATCACCAACACATGGTGCAAATCCTGCTGTGAGCATCACCAACACATGGTGCAAATCCTGCTGTGAGCATCACCAACACATGGTGCAAATCCTCCTGTGAGCATCACCAACACATGGTGCAAATCCTCCTGTGAGCATCACCAACACATGGTGCAAATCCTCCTGTGAGCATCACCAACACATGGTGCAAATCCTCCTGTGAGCATCACCAACACATGGTGCAAATCCTCCTGTGAGCATCACCAACACATGGTGCAAATCCTCCTGTGAGCATCACCAACACATGGTGCAAATCCTCCTGTGAGCATCACCAACACATGGTGCAAATCCTCCTGTGAGCATCACCAACACATGGTGCAAATCCTCCTGTGAGCATCACCAACACATGGTGCAAATCCTCCTGTGAGCATCACCAACACATGGTGCAAATCCTCCTGTGAGCATCACCAACACATGGTGCAAATCCTCCTGTGAGCATCACCAACACATGGTGCAAATCCTCCTGTGAGCATCACCAACACATGGTGCAAATCCTCCTGTGAGCATCACCAACACATGGTGCAAATCCTCCTGTGAGCATCACCAACACATGGTGCAAATCCTCCTGTGAGCATCACCAACACATGGTGCAAATCCTCCTGTGAGCATCACCAACACATGGTGCAAATCCTCCTGTGCGCGCCTCTTCCCCCACCTCCGCTTCTTCTCCCCGCCGTCAATTCTCCTCCGCGCGCCCCCTACATTGTGCCTCCGTCGCCTCTCAAAACGGTCCTCACATGCTCACTCACTCTGCGCTGCACCCCTCGCTCTGATTTCCTTCCTTCCCCCCATTCCTCTATTTCGTTTCTTTCGTCATGCCGATTATTTCGCTCCTTCTCTGCCATCCTCCCGCCCTCACCTCTTCTTAGTTCGCGGGCGACAGGCGAGTGCAGGGGTCGGGCCTGGAGTGTTTTTTTTTACCGCCAAGCATCAATCAACCCCCTCCCCTCCCGCCTGCGGCAGGCGGGTGCAGGGGTCGGGCGTGGAGTGGCAGGAGACGCGGCTGGAGGACGCCACGGCCGTGATGGTGCACCACCAGGCGCTGCTGCGCAACAAGCGCTGCCTCCTCGCCTACCTGTCAGTCCCTTGCCTCCTTGCGTTATGCACCTTGGCCCATGCCCCATGCACCATGCACCGTGCCTCCTCGCCTACCTGTCAGTCCCTTGCCACTCCATTGCCTCCATGCGTTATGCACCTTGGCCCATGCCCCATGCACCATGCACCGTGCCTCCTCGCCTACCTGTCAGTCCCACGCCTCCCCGCCTACCTGTCAGTGCCTTGCCTCCCCGCCTACCTGTCAGTCAGTTCCTTTACTTCCTCGCCTATCTGCCATCCCCTTCGAATCTGTCGCGTCCATTAGTGTTCTTTGTGCTCCACGCTCCATGAATGCTCCATGTTCCATGAATGCTCCATGCATGCTCCATGCTCCATGCATGCTCCATGCTCCATGCATGCTCCATGCATGCTCCATGCTCCATGCATGCTCCATGCTCCATGCATGCTCCATGCTCCATGCATGCTCCATGCTCCATGCAGCTCCATGCATGAATGAACATGCATCACCGTGATGTGCCATGCATTGTGCTATTCTCCATGTAATCTGCTCGGAGCATGCTGCCTGCCGTTGCTACTGTCCAATAACAGCAACATGTCAAAGTTGGACCTCACCACCACCTCCCCATCTCGCCTCCCCTCCTCTCCCCTCGCCATTCTCCTTTTTTGAGTCGACTCAAAGTCACCTGCCATCGCCACTGTCCACTCGCATCATGCCAATGTGGATTTCACTATTACCTCATCTCGCCTCCCCTCCTCTCCCCTCGCTACCCTCCTCTTCCCTCCAGCAATGCGCGCATGGATCAGATCCGACGGCTGAGATGGCAGCTGGGAGCAACGCTGCCACGGGCGTTGCAGGAGCGGCTGAGTGCGGGCGAGGGCGAGTGGCTGGCGCAGTACTCTCAGGCGCTGGGGGACTACATGGCGGACGCAGGGCTGGACCTCACTGTGGTGAGTGTGGGGACAACCAGGGGGTTCAGTGTGTGGCTCACCCTGCACAGTACCACTGCTGTGTGAAGGGATGCGCTGGGCGACTACATGGCGGACGCAGGGCTGGACCTCACTGTGGTGAGTGTTACTGTGGTGAGTGTTACTGTGGTGAGTGTTACTGTGGTGAGTGTTACTGTGGTGAGTGTTACTGTGGTGAGTGTTACTGTGGTGAGTGTTACTGTGGTGAGTGTTACTGTGGTGAGTGTTACTGTGGTGAGTGTTACTGTGGTGAGTGTTACTGTGGTGAGTGTTACTGTGGTGAGTGTTACTGTGGTGAGTGTTACTGTGGTGAGTGTTACTGTGGTGAGTGTTACTGTGGTGAGTGTTACTGTGGTGAGTGTTACTGTGGTGAGTGTTACTGTGGTGAGTCGGTGTGGGCGCAATCAGGGGGGCAAGCAGTGCTTCGTGCCGCACTGTGGTCAGTCAGTGCGGGGGCAACCAGGGGGCTTCATTCCACCCAAGAGTGGCTGGCGCACTACTCACAGTCACTGGGCGACTACATGGCGGATGCAGGGCTGGGCCTCACTGTGGTGAGTGCCCCTGCGGTGTGAAGGGATGCACAGTGGTGTGTTTGAGGGCACTGTGGTCGTGCGCTGGACGATTATATGGCAGATGCAGGGCTGGGCCTCACAGTGGTGAGTGACTGCCTCACTTTCGTGAGTGAGTGCCTCACTGTCATGAGTGAGTGCCTCACTGTCCTGAGTGAGTGCCTCACTGTCGTGAGTGAGTGCCTCACTGTCGTGAGTGAGTGCCTCACTGTCGTGAGTGAGTGCCTCACTGTCGTGAGTGAGTCCCTCACTGTCGTGCCGTAGTCAGTGTACCTCAGAGCACTCGCAGGTGCTTGGTGATTGCATGGCGACTACACGCCCAACCTCACCGTGGTCAGTATGGGGCAACCAGGGGGGCTCAACCTCACCATGCTCTGCCTCACCATGCTCACTGCCTCACCATGCTCAGTGACCCTAGACCTTGCCAAGGGGGGAAAGACCAGAGGGGATGCTGAGCCCACGGTTAAGTGTGTGATGGCATGTGGTGTGTGTGATGGCATGTGGTGTGTGTGATGGCATGTGGTGTGTGTGGTGGCATGTGGTGTGTGTGGTGGCATTGCGGTGTGTGTGGTGGCATTGGGGTGTGTGTGGTGCCATTGCGGTGTGTGTGGTGGCATTGGGGTGTGTGTGATGGCATGTGGTGTGTGTGATGGCATGTGGTGTGTGTGGTGGCATGTGGTGTGTGTGGTGGCATTGCGGTGTGTGTGGTGGCATTGCGGTGTGTGTGGTGGCATTGGGGTGTGTGTGGTGGCATTGCGGTGTGTGTGGTGGCATTGGGGTGTGTGTGGTGGCATTGCGGTGTGTGTGGTGGCATTGGGGTGTGTGTGGTGCCATTGCGGTGTGTGTGGTGGCATTGGGGTGTGTGTGGTGGCATTGCGGTGTGTGTGGTGGCATTGCGGTGTGTGTGGTGGCATTGCGGTGTGTGTGATGGCATTGGGGTGTGTGTGGTGGCATTGCGGTGTGTGTGGTGGCATTGGGGTGTGTGTGGTGCCATTGCGGTGTGTGTGGTGGCATTGGGGTGTGTGTGGTGGCATTGCGGTGTGTGTGGTGGCATTGCGGTGTGTGTGGTGGCATTGCGGTGTGTGTGGTGGCATTGCGCTATGTGTGGTGGCACTGCGCTGTGTGTGGTGAAGAGCATGCACTGCAACCGCGCAGAGCAGTCTTCCTCTGAACGCCATCCCCGCTCTGCTGTTGCTGTACCATCACTCTCCTTGCCCTCATCCCACCCACCTCTTCTTCCATGTGGCCTCGCCTGTGGCAGGACCTGCTACCCCCCAAGGACCCGTACATCGAGGTGCGCGTGCTCAAGGACGCCGGTGCAATGTATCTGGACGACAAAGTGGCCTACTTGGAGGCCAACACTCTGCACCTCGTCAGGAAGACCGATGCAGAACCACTTATTCTAAAGGTACTGAACGAATGCCCCTT